GCCCGCGAGCGCGGGCGCGGAGGCACTGGCAGAGGTGGCGCTGTCCGTCCCCAACTTTGTGCATTTCGTCCCCTCCAGCAGCGTCTGCGGCGGCGCGATGCTCGGCCGCGGCTTGGGCGCCCACGCCGCCGCCGCGCGGCCGCGCTGCTCCCGGCTCATCGCGCGCGCGCAGCTGCCGGTGTCTGCCGGCGGCGGGCGCGGCTGCGGCCGCGCCGCAGGCGCTGCCGTGGCCGCTGCGGCCGCGGCCTTTCCGGCCTTGCGCGCGCCCTTGCCGTTGACAAGAGCCTTTGCGGAGCCTGGCGCGGGCGGCCAGTGCTGCAGCGGCGCCTGCAGCTCGCCATTTGACGGCTGCTGCTGCTGCTGCTGCTGCTGCTGTCCTGCACCGCCATTAGCCGCCAGCTTCTTCGATGCACGCAGGGCCTGAGCAACGGGCGTCGGGAGCATGGGGCGTGGTCGCAACGCTGGTGCAGCGGCCCGGACGCTCAGGTGGCCCTGGCAATACGCAGGGACGGGTCAGCTGCCAATAATCTGGCCTGTTCAGCTCGCCCCCAGCCGCGCCCGCGAGCCTCAAGCACCGCATGCAGCAAGCAACGGGGATGGAGCACTTGCAGGCGCCGCACCTTATTGGTTTCGCAGGGAAGCCGCCGGTTGCTGAGGCACGTGCGGCACTGCCCGCAGCGCCGCACCCCGCCGCCCCCGCGCGGCCGCGCCGGCGCCCCTCCTGCGGCCTCGACCACGGCGCCGCTGCTGCCGTCGCCGCCGCCGCCGCCCTCTCTGCTGCCTCCCTGCTGCGCCGCCTGCGTCCATGGCTGCGCCTCCTGCGCAAACTGCTGCTGCTGCTCCCGCTCCTGCTGCTCCTGCTGCTGCTGCAGCTGCTGCTGCACCTCTTGAGCGAGCGACCGCTGCTCTGGCCCCGCCGGGTTGAACTTCAGCTGCGCCGCCTGGAGCAGCTTGCGCTGGTTCCGCAGCTGCACCAGCTGCGCCATCATGCTAGGGTCAACCCCCGGGCCGCGCCCATGCAATTGATCGGTTCGCTGCTGCTTCAACACACTCAGCAGTGCGAGCTCCAGCGGGGCGGGGTGCATCAGCTGCTGCTGCTGCTGCTGCTGCTGCTGCTGAACAAGGGTGTGCAGTTGCTGCCTCTGGTGCAGCATGAGCTGCGGCTGACTGGGGTCCAGCTGCTGTGTAGCCTGCCTGGGCTCGACGTGCTGCCCTTGCATGTGCAATGATACCTGCTGAGAAAGGGCCATGGCAGCCTGCTGCTGCTGGTGCTGGTGCTGGTGCTGCTGCTGCTGCTGCTGCTGCTGCTGCTGCTGCTGCTGCTGCTGTTGAAGCAGCTGCCGCTGCTCTCCTGTTTCCCACTCCTGCACGTGCTCCCACTGCTGCTGCTGCTGCTGCTGCTGCTGCTGCTGCTGCCACTGTATCTGTTGCTGCTGTATCTGCTGCCGCTGTATCTGCTGCCACTGTATCTGCTGCCACTGTACCTGCTGCCACTGTATCTGCTGCCACTGTTGCTGCTGCTGCTCCTCTTGCAAGTCCTGGATCTGCTGCCGTTGATGCCGCTGCCATTGCTGTTGGCGCTGCAGGGCAGCTGCCTGCCACTGCTGGCCATGAGCCCCAGCTTGAGCCGAGACCGGCACGGCCGCGGCCGCACCAAAGATGCCATCCGACAGCCCCGTTACCACCTGCGAAGGCGCACCGCCCATGTCATCCAGCGGCCGTTTTGTGCGGGCGTGCCAATGGCCCGTCGTTGCGTTGTACACGGCGCCCGCCTGCACAGGCGCAGCGGGGACGCCACCGTTGGCTAGAGACTCCTGCTGCTGCAGGGCCGCCAAATGCTGCTCCTGCATCGACTGCTGCTCCAGCAGCTGCTGCTCAAATAACTGCTGCTGCTGGGAGTGCTGGCGCGCAAGTTGTTGGGCGCCCAGCTCGGCGAGCCGCTGGCGCAATTGCTGTTGTTGCTGCTGCGGTTCCTGCTGCTGACGGTGCTGCTGCTGCTGTTGCTGCTGCTGCTGCTGCTGCCGCTGCTGCTGCTGCTGCTGCTGCTGCTGCTGATGGTGGTGGTGGTGCTGACGGGGCTCGGCCATTAGCGATGGCTGCTGCAAAAGCCAGGCCGCAGGCGCCAACGCATCAGGCTCACAGTCCACCTGGCAGCTGAGTGGATTGGAGAGCGCCGGCTGCAGCTGCCCTATCAGATGACCGCCGTTGAGCAGCATCTCCTCGGCCCGCAGCCTTTTTGCGGGCGGGCCCTCTGCCACGTCCTGCCCAGCTGCAGCGAGCGCGGGCCCGGCCCACGCGCCACCTTGCGACATGAGCCCGGCCGCTGCTGTGCCCGCGCCCGTCGGCACAGATGCTCTCAGCAGTACCGGGCCCGTTGGATAACTCTGGGGCAACATATCCGCCAAGTAGCCTCCTGGAAAGGCCATCGAAGCCCTCAGACAAGGCTCGCGGGCCCCTCGCGGCCCCCTCGCCTCACGGTTGGATTTTGCGAGACGAAAAGCATGAAAAATGTAATTGATGGCTCAAAAAGCGCAGCAGGATGGCTGGTACCAGAAGTCCTTCAAAACTTGTTTGGGATAAAGAGCTGTGCTTTGAGGGTTGGTGAGTTAGTAACGCAGTCGGTTCAATAAGTTATTTCGAGGCATGTGGGCGCCAGGCAACCAAGTGGCCCGAGGTCAACGAGCGGCGACGGTGCATACGTCGTGCGCCCACGCACCCCTGGGACTGCAGCAAGAAGGGTTGTCTGCCGGGCACGCGGGGAATCCCTTGTGTGAGTATGTTCAAATGTACAGCATGCATGTAGCAAATGCTTTGGTTCGACCACTGCATGCGGGTTGACCACCTTGCCCCCACAGCCAAAGACTGGGTCAACTCAAGACCTGTCCTGTGTGCCACAGCCCATGCGTCCTGAGTGCATCGGGAAATTTTTATTACACTGCAACATGATGATGGCTGAAAATTCGTTTCTTGTGGTGCTGCGTACTCGCAGCTGCACGCCCATAAATGCTTGACACAAAAAATGCAGATGGAAACGATATTTGTGTCAGGCCGGCACCACACAGGCACTCCAAAGCCCAATGCCAGACCAAGCATGCACAGCTACTTGTGTGGCAAAGACACTAGCGCAAGGGTGTCAAAAGCAGATAGTCACAAGCAATTTTTCAGTTGCAACACCTGCAGCAGCAAACCGTATGTGTAGGAGCCCCCCCTCCGTGTCAAAGTCCGTCGCCCCCTGCTGCTGTGCAATAAGGACTGAATAATCACGAGCAGGCCGCCGCCCGGGCCCCGTGCGCTCACGCCCCGCGTGCCGGCGCGCCGCAGAGCGCCTCGGGATGGAAGCCGGCCAGCGGCGGCCGGTCGCGCGCGAGCGAGACAAACGCGGGCACCGCCACCAGCGCGGCCTGCAGGGCCACGCTCGCCACGAACCGCACGAGGGACAGTGCGGTCAGCAGGGACGGGTGGCCGGTGCGGCGCACCACCTTGTCCATCGCCCAGATGCCGAAGGGCGTGACGGCCACGTTCACAGCTGCGTAGGCCAGCGCGATCTGGACGTGCAGGCGGCCCGAGATTAGGAACGAGAGGGCTGTGCCGCACATCGAGACGGTCAGCACCAGCTTAGACGTGGCCGCGACGACCTGCGGGCGTTCAAGAGGGACACGAGAGGGAGAGTGTGTGTGTGTGAGAGAGATTGTGTGTGTGTGTGTGCTTGTGCCACAAGTGCAAGTGTGTGTTTGTTGGTGTGTGTGTGTGTGTGTGTGTGTGTGCGCGTGTGTGTGTGTGTGTGTGCATGTGACAGAGTGAGAGAGAGGCAGGGAGGGAGTAAGGCGAGGTGCGCATGCAAATGGGGATGCAGGTGCGCAAACGCGATCAGCAAGCACGCCCTTGGGGGGCGCCCCTGACGGCCCGCGACACCGCCGGAGAGCGACGCAGCCCGCGTGCAGCGCGGCTTGCAGCTCGATTTATGGTTCTGATGCCTCACTTGCAGCAACATTTGGACGAACCCTGCCGTGCTCTCACCTGGGGGTGCAGCCCGTCGGCCACCAGCATAGGAAACACAAACGCGCCGCCGCCCTGCCCAAGCATGCCGGCCAGCACGCCCACGACCAGCATCAGCGGCGGCATCGCCGCCAGCCGCGGGGCGCCCCACTGTATCGCAGCCTCATTGGCCACCAGCCGCGCCTCGCTGGCCGCGGCCGCGCGCTCCGCCGCGGCCGCGCGCCCGCGCGCGGTGGGGCGC